TATATAATTTATTTTATTGTGGGAAGGGATTAGGGTCATTGAAGTGGCGAGATTTTGTGGCTAATATGGAGATCCCTATTGCTAGTGTCTGCTTTCCAGGGATGCGCTCAGGGTTGACTAATCATACAGGCCTTTGCGTCTGTCTCAAGGTCTGACCACTCCCATTAAGTTGGGGAGGGGAGCGCACAATGTAACCGGCCCTGCACCTAGTTCTCTGGAAATGAACTGCAGCAATTACATAAAAGCAAGCCAGGTATTGGCACACAGTAAAACCAGTTAATACCATGGTATTATCTGTGTCACCACTGGAAATAGCAAAGAAATCAGCCATAATCAAAGTGAAACTGCCTACTTCTTTTGTGTTTTTTAAAATATTTATTTATTTATTTATTTATTTATTTATTTGTGTTTTGAGATTTATTTGTGTTTTGAGACAGGGCCTTACTGTGTAGATCCAGCTCGCCTGGATCTCAAGATGTACAATAATACTGTAGACACAAAGCCAAACCAAATGACTGCTGAGTCCTGCCTAACCTTTCTGGCTGGGTATGGTCTTAAGTGGTGTCCACTCGACGGCTATGTTTACTCCAGCATCTCTCGGTTTCTGTGATGCTCTGTGAGCCCCAAGTCACTGTTTTCTCTAACTAGCTTTATAGTCTGTGGTTGTGTGAGGCGGCCCCCTGCTCTAGAGGCCCCTCTGTCTGTGTACCCCAGGCTGTGGCAATTGTTCAAGCTAAGATATATATTTTTAATGTCTTTGGTTGTTACAGGGTCTCACCACACAGCTTGGACTCATAATGATCCTCCCACTTTCAGCCTCCCCAGTGCTGGGAATATAGGTGTGCACCACTATGCCCAGCCTCTGTGGCTCACTCAGCCCGCCCTGGGGGCAGGGCTGGTGCGGCATGTGGTGCTGGGGAGTGAATTGTGGTCCACGTACTTGCCTAAACAGATGCTTCAGTCTGCTGAGCTATCTTGCAGGCCAAGACATATTTTTGATCACACTGGCAGATGTAGAAAGCAAACAGATCAAGGAGCTGTATGTTGGATGTAGGCAATGGGGTGGGGTGGGGATGAAGCACTCCACTGGACTTTATGCCATCATTTTAAGACTTAGGCCCTTCTGAATACCACATGTATTCTGGCTTCTCTCCATGGAGGGTGGGGATGTCATATCCTTCCTGGACTGAGTGTAAACTTCTCAGGGAGTCTGTATCTAGCCCTTTCCATGATTGTCTCTTTTGTCCATCTCCCATCCAGTCATTCTGGTAGGATGATCCCATAAGCCCTGAAATGTAGCTGTTCCATGGCGTGTGATTCCCAGAACAGTTGTCTTAAAAAATGATCTCTTTCTAAAAATGGTTCTGGGAACTTCCAAATATGGTGGGTTCTACAATAGATTTCTTCTCCAATGCTAGCACACCATGGGGAAGTAGTCACTTCCAGACTAAAACCCTGTGCTGTTTTTGCAGTTTATACCATGAGATTTCTTGGGACTAGTGCTGCTAGTGGGTCCCTTATCTCTCCTGGGGTTGTTAACCCTCTCTAGGGTTACCTTGTGTTATTGGACACAGGTTCCTCTCCTTGGAAGCCAGGATTAGCTCTCTGGACTGCTCCTTTGTTTCTGTGCATTATCTTAATTTTTTCCAGTTTGTCTGTCATTTCTCTGTTAGCTCACTCTTGATTCCTGAAGACCTACTTTTTATTTCACTAAATTGTTATTTCCTAGGTGTTTTAATTGCAGATTCTGGAGAGGCTCTATTTTGCTGCTAGTCCTTATACACCATTTTAATCCCTACCAAAGCTCATTTGTCACTAAAAAGTTATTACCATCCTAGTGGATCTAAAGTAATATTGCATTGCAGTTTTGATTGGCATTTCCTCAATGATGAGAATGCTGATGCCATTTTTTCATGCACTTGTCCATTTGTATATCTTTAAATAAATTAATAACCCAAGGTATAAGATTATTGATTGGTGCCAACCGCACCCAGAAGTGCACTAAACCAATTAGTGGACAAATAGAGACCCACATACTCTTAATTGCAGTATTATGTACCCTAGAACCAGCTGCCTCTGAAAAGCCCCACCTATGAGCACATAAAGCTTCAGGTACCTCTAGACAAAAGCTGCAACAGTGTTGAGCTCCCTGTGTAGCCAACATGGCCACAAATCCACAGCGATCCTCTGTTCTCAGGCTCCCAAGTGCTGGGACTATAGGATACGGCACCATGTCCAGCTGTATATCCTTTAGAGACAAGTATCTATTGAAGTCTTCTACCCACTTGTAAATTGGGTTGTACTTTTGCTGTGGAGTTTATAAGTCCTTTATGCACTCTGGGTACCAGGAGATGACTCTCCACGGAGCCTCAGCAGGAGCCAGTCTGCCTGCCACACCGTGGCTTTAGCACAGGAACACCTGTCTTGAACATCTCACCTACAGAATTGGGAAGAAATATATGCGTGTTGCTTTAGGCCACTGTGTATGTGGGCTTTTGCCACAGGAAACTCATTTGCCGATGCTGTCTGTGTGAGCCAGCTTTGCTCCCTGGGACCCCTCATGGGTTCTTTCTTAGTCTTCGCAGGCTCCGTGAGGCCGCCTGCAGCCCTTGATGCTGTGGGTGCACGCTTGCAGAGCATGATGTCTCCCAGGGGTCCTGGGCTTTCAGCTGTGCTGAGCCACAGAAGGGTTTCTACCACTCTTTTCTGGGGAAAGCAGGTTTCTGGAGCTTGTGGATTCTGGGCTACTCTCCTCCTGCTACCCTGAGTCCTTCAGGAGCAGCGCAGGCTCTCACGGTGTCCTCTGCACTCCAGGGCTCCCTCCCAAAGCTACTCTGGGATTCAGAGAAAGCACATCTTGGCTGATCCCATCAGTCTGCAGGCTTGCTTTGAACCTTGGTTGGCCTTGAGCTGGGTGGGAGGCCCGCACAGCTCGCAGACTTGGTTCTCAGTGCCGTGTAGGAATCTTCACTTCTTCTGGGGCTGCACTTTATCATCTGATTTCTGCTATCTCATGCAGTCAGGCCAAGCCTGATCCTTCGTCATATGTGTGATTATTCTTGTAACGCAGATGCACACAGTGCTCAGAGAACGTTTATCTCTATTATTGCTGGTGGCAAGAACAAAGCTCCTTCTGCTCCCAGCGTCATGCTGTTCATTAACCATTTGATCCTGGAGGATGGCATTCTCAGAGACTCTGTAGTCCCTATTTATAGAGAAGGAGGGGTCCTCAGGGCAGGGTGGCCTTCCCGGGCTCCTGCCCAGCAACTTCATTGCTTCTTGGGTCTTTTCACCATGACAGAATTTAGATGCATGGCAACTATGTAGCTAAACCACTGTTTTTCAATCATAAGGGAACCTCAGACATAGGAAAAACATCTGGTCAGCATTTGTGTGTAGGAACACAAGCTACGATCCAGAAAATCTGAGCTTGCAGCTGTCTGATGGGATCACTGTTGAGTAACTGCAGTGAGCAAGTCTACAGCACTGTAGGAATGTGGCCTGTAATGTTACAGAAGAAAAGTTCTCAGGAGTGTCTGCTGTGTGACCTCTAAAAGTTGGCATGAGAAAATAGATCCAGGAAATGGAAAAGAAGTGACAAACCAAATCTTCACAGCTATTTGCTTCAAGAAACTTGTCTTCTCCAGATGCCTATCATGCTATTAGAGTGGGAAAATAGAGTTGATTTGACTGAACCGAAAGCAACTTTGTGCTTTCCCAGGCCAGAGGGAGCCCCTTCAGTAGGACACTGAGGAGGCCTCACTCCACTTGCTTTGGTCTTGGGGATATTTTGTACCAGCTTAGATTTCTTTTTCTTTGATCCAGGGTATCTCTACTTAGTTTAGGCTGGCCTTGAACTCATTATGTAGCTCTGGCTGGCCTTGCCTCCTGAGTGCTGGGGTTACAAGTGTGCACCACCTCGCCCGTTGTGTACCACTTTTTGTCTTAATCAATTGCTTTTATGTTGGACTATGAAATAATGTCATTGCTTCAAATAAATAATTAATAATGTTTTGTAGCATTAAGATAATTACTGTCATTTAGATAATTTATGGCATTAAAGTAATTACAGGAAAAGTAGCATCAACTGAGACATTTTTGCACTTATGACTAATCCATTTTAGACATAAACCATTTTAAATGTAATCTTAAAAACATTAATTCCAGAAAACTGCAGTTATGCCAAGGACAGATAAGAAAGTACAAGGATCAAGGCTGTGCTATACCAAACAGATAAAAGGCAAAATTGATTTTATACTGTAGATCTGTACAAATAAATAACATCCTATCTTCTTTGCCTGTATGTATGCTTAGATTTCATACAAAATAACAAATACTTCACTCCAGTTATTTCAATAGAATGAAAGCCTTAGAAAAAATCTGAAGAGCTGATAACTCCCAAGATTTATACTTACTTCTTTCTACTTCTATCAATTTCCTGATATATTTAACCTAAACAGAAAAGTCTTCTCTGTAAATGAAGCACACAAGTCTCCCTGTGCCCTGAAGAGTTCTGCCCAGTTACATAGATCCCGTGGTGCTTTTGGTTGCCCATCTCTTCTTTGCTTCAAGCCCCCATGCAAGTTTCTTCATTTTTTCGAGCAGCCTGTGAGTTTTCAATCTCCTTTTTGGCTTTTACAAACTGGTGGCAGGCAATTGCTTTGGCAGTTTTTACCCCAAGCTCTCGAGGAGCAAGCTGGCTGCTGAGCTCCTCGGCCTTCTCCATGTTCCACTCCTCCACAGCCTGTCTATGTTCTTTTCTTTCTTTCTTTTTTTTTTTTTTTTTACATTTTATTTTATTTGTGTGTGTGTGTGTGTGTGTGTGTGTGTGTGTGTGTGTGTGTGTGTGTGGCCAGCTCAGCCCACCAGGGGGCGGGGCTGGCTGGCATGTGGTACTGGGGGATTCAACTGCGGTCCCTGTGGTTTGCTAAGCTTGTTCCAAGTAGGTGCTTTAGACCACTGAGCCATCCCTCCAGCCCTCTATGTTCTTTTCAAGGCCTGACTTTTCAACCTTTTTCTGTTTAACAGGGTGTTCAAATCTATCCTTGGCTCCAAAGTACTGAGTAAGCTCCTTCCACTGGGTCTCACTCATGGAGTGCTGACTTTGAGACTCGTTTTCATTTTGTAGCATTTTTCTGGAGCATTTTCTTTTTCTCCTTCTGAATCTCAAGGCTGAAGTTTTCTGTCAAATTTTTTTTTTATGCAGTTCTTGAAATTTGCTCCACATATTTAAGGGAATTCCAGAAGGGCACTCTTCATATGCATTTGTTTTGGTCTCTGTTTCAGTTTTTGGTTCATCTTCTGGGAAACCTGAGATTTCTGTTTCTCTAATGGTCCCATCCTCTTTGTCTTCCTGTAAGTTACGATCACTGTTCTGTAGTGTGGGCTCCTTTTCAGAATCCAACTCAGCATCACCCTCCTTTAGGCCAGGAGGCAGCAGTCTGCGTCTGCTGCATTTCTTTTCTTTGACCAGGAAGCAGACTCTGGGTGTCCATTTTCCACTTTTAGTGAGCTTCCAATTGGGGCAGCCTACAGGAGTGTGTGGCGGCATTCCTTGGGGCAGCAGGACACCCAAGGCTCAAGTGTGGCTGGTAGGGTCCTCATATCCCTTGAATGGCTGTCTAGCAACAGGTTCCTGGAGCCCCCGAACCCTGGCAAGGGAAATGGGTTGATGGAAGATGGGCACACTCTCCCACAAACCCCTACGGTCCTGGCTCTAAGCGACTGGATCCTTGCCACTGAGGCTCAGAGCTGTGAGCACCCCTAATTGTATGCATCCCTACTGAGGCTCTGAGTCCAGAACTGGCTCCAGGTCCCTGCTCTGCTCCAGAGGAGCTCAGAGAGTCAGGCCTCGCTCAAAGTCATGGGGCCCATGGCAGCTCCTCACCTGGCCACAGCTTATTCCTGTCCATACTTGGTGGGGGCCCCCACCTCTGAGAAGTGATCTTGGGTAGGGGTGAGGCCGGAAACCAAAACCATCCTCGCTCCTGTCAGAGTAGCTCTATCTGGAAGGCTGTGGTAGAGCCATAGTGCCAAGAATTTACCTCTCAATCTGGTGGAACAGGGTAGGGCAGGGCAATGGTGGTGGAGCACCAAAGCCCTATTTACAGAGCAGGAAACTGAGGCACACAGAACACTGACAGCAGCACCCAGAATCTGGTGTGCAGCCTGACCACGCGTTGGAGTACACAGCCTTGCTTAGTGAGAACCTGATACAGGGCACTACCCCGAGAGATAGGAGGGTGTGACTGAGAAATCAGGTGCAGCCGAAGGGCAAGAGGTCCACCCTCGGGGCCTCTCTCCAACCCCCAGGGCCAACCTCCTTGCCAGCTGCATAATTGGTAAGAGGGTCCTTACAGGCCTGAGCCCTGGGGAGGCCAAGGTTGAGGCAAAAGTAAGCCACGCACCTTGGTGCTGCCTGCTGGGCACAAGGCTTCCTGTGCTGCTGTGGAGGGCAGGAGGGCCAGGCACAGGGTGCGGAGCTCCCCAGTTGGGGCCTTTTCAGGCGCCTGCATTTTGTGGGCTGGGAGCTGAGTGCCAGCAGCCTCAGGTCTGAGTTTCTGGCCAGCACATTGGCTGACAGTGGGCAGGATTTAGTGTAGGTGTCTGCTCTGGCCTCTGCCTGGGAGGGGTCGGGGGCTAGCAGGAGCTATGCGTGGCCACAGTGTGAAATGAGTGTGGAGCCCCAGGAGCAGAACAGTAGCCGGGCATCCCTGGCTTCCTTCCTGTGGCTCCCTACATCCTGGGGTGTGGCCAGGATGGGGCCAACCCTGGCTGCTCAAGGTGATCACAGCCGCTTGATTGAAGCAGTGCTGTAGACCCGGCAGGTGGGCAGTCAGCCCAGGATCTGTGCTCAAGCTCTGTGCAGGTGACAGGACCGTCAGGTGCCTTCGTGGGCAGTCATGGCTACGGGAGGCAGCAGGACTGTTTGGGCCACACGCTGAGGGCCCAGAGTGGCCTCTGATCTTGATGACACTCCTCACCTCATCTCCAGGAGGCTGGCAGCAGAAAACCAGCAGCTCAGCCCACAAGAGACCCACCTTGGCATCCCAGAGGGCCAGACAGGCAGGGTGGTTGAGTGCTCCCTGGCTCAGGGTCTGTCCTGGCATGGAGCGACTGTGTGCTGTGCCTGCTGACCCTCCTAATCTCTAGGCTGCCCATGGGACATGTGCCCTGGAGCTGGGTGAGTGGCTCTGCATCCAGCCCCCTAGCGAGGGTCTGAGGTTGGCACTGACCTGAGTGTGACTGGGGAAGTCTCACCTTTGCAGCACTTACCATACCCCTCTGGAGCCAGGCCACCTGGGCTGTCTCCCTGGGCTCACCTCCTGCAAGCCCAGTAGAGTCCCAGGTGTACACAGGGGTGCATGGACCCCACCTTGGCATAGGCCAAGCTCCCTGACTTCTAGCTAACCTCTCCTGAGCTCAAGAGGTTGCTTACAAGATGTGGTGACAGGAAGACTGGGGAGAATGCTGGGTCTGTGTTTCCTCACCCGCACCGCAGCTGCCTGTCCCTTGCATACACACAGCTTGTGGGGGAGGGCGGGGGTTGCTGAGCTGGCCGGCTCTTACTCACGGGGCAGCACAGACCCAGGGGGTGCACTGGAGGACCGTGAGGCTCCAGGCCCAGCAGGCCTTGCCGATTTCTTTACTTTCTTCTCAGCCTGCACAGTGTAGCTGTCAATAGTAGGAATGTTTTTCTAAGCAAGAGGTTATCTGGGTCAGGGTTGAGGGAAGGAGGCACTGCTCCCCAAGTCAGAGCCATGGCTGTCGCACGGCAGAGTGACTCCTACCTGGATGATAATGAATGTGCTTGTGGGATCTAGGGGTGTCCTGTGGCCACCCGGTGCAGGTGCAGCACTGAAGAGGTCTGTGCCAAGGTGTCAGGATGCAGCCTTGGGTCTCTGGAAATGGTGTCATGAGGGTAGGCTGAGAAAGTTGCTCCTTGCTGGTGCTGCCCTGGTGGTCCCACCTTGGGACCTGGCCTTGGCTGGCCTTACCCCTCCATGACAGCTCGCGGCTGCGTGCTCTGCTCCGGGTCCACATAGCAGAGCGCTTTACTTTCAGCTAGAGCAGGGGTCTGTAGCAAGTTTGCTTTGATGCATCCTAGGTTGTTCATACTCAGGTGAAGGACAACCGAGGAAGACGACCTGGTAGGTCTGGGGAAGGGACAGCGCTGAAGCACCCTCATTTTAAAATCTTTTGGGTGGGTTATGGCTTGTTTTAGATCCAGGAAGAGGGTCGGTGCCTCAGGGCCTAGTGTCCAGGTGCAAGCAGGAGGGAGAGAGTGCGCTTGATATGTGTGTGGAAACAGGGCCTGGACGATGTAGGGTATCTTGGGCTGGTTCCCCTCCCAGATATCAGGGGAGGTGGTTCTTAAGAGCTATACTGAGCCTGTTCTGAGAAGATTTTGAGGGAGATGTGGCTACCTGGGGACCTTTTGGGTGGCAGGAACTATTCACCCTTCATCCATCTTGAGCTTTCACTGAGCCCTTTAGGTGCGCCTTCCCGTTCGCCAGTATCTGGCCAGCAGGGGGCTCTGGTATTAGTCTTTCAAAAGTCACATTTTGGGGAAGCCTGTCCCTGTTCCTTCTCAGCAAGATTAGGATCTCAGGCAAAGAGTATCACCCCCAGCCTCCCATTTCTACCCCTGAAGGTTGCTGTCTTGAATGGGATCATTTTACAATAAGAATGTTCTACTAGGTCTACGAGGCCCCAGTCTGGCTTGTTGGATGAAGATGCTAAAAGTCAGGGCAGACTTAATTTCATTTGTGAAAAACCTGATGGTTCCTGTTTTTTTCTTTTTCAGGCTTCTTGACTCTAGCACAAGGCCCTCGCACTTCCCTGTGATAAAGACTTTAGAAAAGGAAGGACATATCCCTGTCCCAGGTGACAAGCACTTTAAGATAAGGACGTCTTCCTCCAGGTAATAAGCAACTGCTAGCTGCCTTCTGATCTGGCTCTGAGCTGTTTCATCCAGTAGCTGTATGGCTTATCCCCAGCAGCTCATTCCCACAGGTACCAGGTCTGTGTGGGGTCCTGAGACTGCAGGATAAAGTGAATAGATTCTTGAGGGTTGAAGGAACAGGGCGATAGCTCAGTGGTCTAAGCGTCTGCCTGGCAAGCATAAGGACCCAGGTTTGATCCCAGGTACTGCATGCCAAGCTAGTTATCCAAGCCCTGGAGAGGCTGAGACAGGAAGATCACTGGGAGTCCAAACTGGGTAGCGAGACCCTGCACCAAATAAATGAAGAAAACCTGATATAGTGCTCTGTGTCCCAGCAATGCTTCATGGCCACGGCAGGCCAGAACCTGTCCTTGCAGGGCCCGTTCATCCTCCTGGGCTTCCCAGGCCCACCCAGCTTGCGTGCTGGGCTCTTCTTGCTCTTTCTAGTCATGTATGTGCTCACGGTGGCAGGGAATCTGGCCATCATCTCCCTGGTCGGGGCACACCGGAGCCTCCAGACACCCATGTACTTCTTCCTCTGCAATCTCTCCTTCCTGGAAATTTGGTTCACCACGGCCTGTGTGCCCAAGAGCCTGGCCACTTTCGCCTCCCAGGAGGGAGCCATCTCTTTGGCTGGCTGCGCTGCTCAGATGTACTTTGTCTTCTCCCTGGGCTGCACTGAGTACTTCCTGCTGGCTGCTATGGCCTATGACCGCTATCTAGCCATCTGTCTGCCACTGCGCTATGGTGGCCTCATGACACCTGCCCTGGCAGCACGGCTTGCTCTGGGCTCCTGGCTTTGTGGCTTCTCTGCCATCACTGTACCCGCTGCCCTTATCACACGCCTCTCCTTCTGTGGCTCTCGAGTCATCAATCACTTCTTCTGTGACATTGCACCCTGGATTGTGCTGTCCTGTACTGACACCCGGGTGGTGGAGCTGACATCCTTTGGCATTGCCTTCTGTGTCATCCTGGGCTCCTGTGCTGTCACACTGGTCTCCTATGTCTATATCATTGTCACCATTGTCAGGATCCCTTCCACCCAGGGACGGCACCGTGCCTTTTCCACCTGTTCATCCCACCTCACAGTGGTGCTCATCTGGTATGGTTCTACCATCTTTCTCCACGTGAGGACCTCAGTGGATAGCTCACTGGACCTCACCAAGGCCATCACGGTGCTCAACACCATTGTCACCCCAGTGCTGAACCCCTTTATTTACACTCTGAGGAACAAGGATGTGAAAGAGGCTCTGTGTAGGACAGTGAAGGGGAAGTGATGAGATGCCTGGTGCCCTCCTGCCTTGTCCCTCAGTCAACCTATAGTGCAGGGCCATCAACTGGCACCACTCCCTCTGCACACAGGGAACATAGCTTGTCACTGGAACCCTGGCCTTGAGTTCAGCTGCTCATGGAAGTCACCCCTCTGTTGAGCTAGGGGAGAGTTCTGCTCCACTTGTAAGTTGATTCAGAAAGAAGCATGGCACCTGAGACCCGCAAGAGGTGCCTTCTAAGGGTGCTGCAGCATCCCACCCTCTGCATACTGTGTACCTGCACCTGGTGCCAGCCAGCCTGTGACCCTCAGAGGTATGGGTCTTGCGGTGACGGGGTTTCTATTGCTTCCAGATGCCACCACTCCCACACCAGTTTCTCCTGCGTGGCCCCTGCCATGGAAGAGCACCCCTGGCTGACTCTTTGCCCACACTTGGTGTACTCAGCCGTGGTGGTGAGAGCCAGGTGCATGTGTGTGGAAGCCCCTTTGGGAGGCCCTGCAGCCTGCCAGGCATAGTTGGATCACTTTACCTTTGCTATTAAGTTAGCAAAGACATGAATCAGTAAAAGGGGTTGCTCTTTAATTTCATTTTCTAAGTGACTTGACAAAAACATGAAGACTACACAAATGTCACTAGTTACATATAGCGGAGTGTGCAAGTCTCAGGGATCTGTGAGTCATCTGACTACAGGCCCTGGGAAAAAGGGGCCTGCAATTCAGTGTTGGTGGTGTCACAGGTTTCAGGAAACACCATCTTTTGTCATTTTTTAGGGACTGATGCATTTCCCCCATGGGATGAAGAAGCCTGCCCAGTAAGTGCAGGATACCAAGAACTGCACTGGTCCAGGGGAACAGGCAGAGAAGAACATTGCCATGACAACAGAAGGAGCCTACAGGGGCTAGCAAGCTTTTAGCCTATTGACATAACAATGGGAGGGACCTGCAGAGGCTAGCAAGCTTTTAGCCTATTGGTATGATAGATCACTTTAACTGATCTTCTGATGTTCAGCCTTTCCCATATGGAATTTACTTGGCAGTGGTGAATAATTTTTTTTTTTCTTTTAAATGTATTTAGTACAGGGTCTCACTATACAGCTCAGACTCATGGTGATCCTCTTGTTTTCAGCCTTCCCAGTGCTGGGATTACAGGCATGTGCCATCACATCCGGTCTCAGTGGCCAGCTCAGTGTGCCTGGGGGCAGGGCCAGTGGGGCATGTGGTGCTGGGGATTGAACCCGGGTCCCTGTGCTTGCCTAAGCAGGTGCTTAGTGTGCTGAGCTATCTCACTAGCTCTGCCTGTGCTTGCCTAAGCAGGCGCTTAGTATGCTGAGCTATCTCACTAGCCCTGATAATTACTTGACAGATTTAATTTGCTGATAAATATCCTTAACATTTATTTTTGACCTATAATAATCGTATATATTTATAGGGTGCATCATGACATTTCCAGTACATGTTTACGCCGAGGAATGAACAAGATTTACTCATTTGTTTATTTATTTATTTTTTTAGTTTTTATCTTTATTTTATTTTGGCAGAACCGGGGATTGAACTCAGACCCTTGTGCTTGCCAGGCAAGCGCTTATTCTACTGAGCCATCTCCCCAGCCCCGATTTACTCATTTGTTGAAGAGCTTTGTATCTATGTCCATGGAGATATAGACCTGTCACTTCCTCTTTACAGAACCTTTGTCTGGTTTTGCTGTTAGTGTGTTGCTGGCCTCACGAATGAGTTTAGAAAAGCCCTTCCACACCTATCCTCTGGAAGACAGTGTACAGAAGTGGTGTAACTTCTTTATTATGTTTTGGGCAGAATTCACCAATGAACTCAACTGGGTATGGGGCTTTCTTTTTTGGAAGAAATTGATTCAATTTCTTTAATAGGAAAAAATAAAATTTAAAGGAAAATATCTTTTATTGGTTTGTCTCATTATAAAAGGATACATGCCCTGAAGAAGCCAGGGTAGTAGTTTACACCTAGGTTGTTTCAAACACTTTTCTAGGCATACATTTATTCCCTTGGATCAGAAACAAATGTGATCCAAACACAGAGACTTCATAGTTGTCACACTTGGGTACATGAGTCCAGTAGAATACAGACACTGGAGATGTAGTGGGACCCGAGGTGTGTGGGCTGTGGGAGGCCACACTGTGGGAAAGAGTAAGTGTCCCCTCAGCAGGTGTCCCCTCAGTAGATGTCCCCCAAGCAGGTGCCCCTCAACAATCAACTATTTGAGTGTGCTTTTCGTCCCAGCATCCACTTGGGGAGGAGACTGCAGCCCAGCATCAGCATTGCAGGCTCTAGAGCGTCCACCTCATGGTCTAGGCAGCAGACAGACACATGAAGGACCAAAGGAAGTGAGGTGCCATAACCCAGGAAAAATATGCAGTTAGCCTGTTGTGTACCCTCTGGCCAGTCCTCCAGATGTGGGGCCTCAGTGTCTCACATTATGAAACTGGTGCAAGGAACTCTGGGAGTGATTAAAAGTCCCTTGGAGACCCACAGGAAGTACACCCAAATAGTCCATTGTTGAGGGGCACCTGCTGAGGAGTAGCTGCTGGGGGGCACTTGTTGAAGGGATCACTACTGAACAGGCACCTGCTGAGGTGTTGTCTGCTGAAGCGAAGTGTGCTGAAGAGACACTTGCTGAGGAGGCGTCTGGCGAGGGGACACTTGTAAGAGGAAACTGGCTGAAGGATTCTATACTGAGGAGACGGCAGCTGGTGAGGACCATGGAGCAGCTGCTGAGGGGCGCCTGTTGAGGAGCTACCCACTGAGGGGTACCTCTTGAGGTCTTCTTGAGGCACCTACTGAGGAGGTGCCTGCCCAGGCTGTCAGGAGCATACTGGCCCCACCTGCATTTTGGTTCATGATCAGTTTCCAGGCCTTGCGATCCCAGCCTTCCCATAACCATGTACTACTGTCTGCTCCAGGCAGCAGGTGGCAGCAGTTTCAGCTGCAGGGAGCCGGTGTTGTCACTCTGCTCTCTACGCTGAGTGCCTGCACAGTAAGCCCAGGGGTGCCCCGCACTTTGCTTCTTTCTGGACCTGTTCCGCCCACAGGGCTAGCAGTACTGTAAGAAGATATTTTTTAAAAAAATTCTGAGCCCTATTCAGATAAATAGTTTGTGTTCTTCAGGCCACTGAGGAATACTGCACAAACCTCTTGGCACCCAATCAAATTAACAGTTAAAAAATTCTGGCCAACTTTTGTGTGAACTTTTAATAGCTGGGGGATTACGCATTGCTTTCCCTGGGGCGCCATTAGGAAGGAGGCGGCAGAGGTTGTGGGAGGCCACACAGCGCTGGAGGCTCCCTTGCTGGGCTCTGGGTTTATTAGCAAGTTGGGTGGTTCTGCTTTGTTAGGCAGGAAAGTGTCGAGGGCACCGTCATGGATGGTGAAGATTATCCCAATTAATAATGATTAAATTCGCCATAAAATTCAGCTGAGAGGAGTTACTTAATTTCAAACAAGCAATTGTATAGGGGTTTGCGCTCCTGAGGGATGCAGTGGCAGCGAGTGGCCGAAAGGCGAGGGAAGAGGAGAGCCTGCTGGAGAAACTTCTCTGCAAGAGTGACGCGAGGGAGAGGGCACGGGGACGAGGCAGTTAGGACTTCCTGGGGGGCAATGACCTTATTTCCTGGTCTTTGTGGAATTTTCTTGGACAAAGCCAGCTGCCTTCTGGAGACTTTGGGTAATACCAGAGCTCAGCTTGGAGTCTGTTGTTCTTGCCTGTACCTGAGTGCCAGGCCATCAGCATTTCCTGGACAGCACCGGGTCCTTGAGGTGCCTGTACCTGGCTGGTCAGCCCTGACCACTCTTGGAGAGCTGTAATTCTTTATCATTTTTGATTCTTCCACAGTCTACGTAGGTGCTTTTTTTCTTGGATGTGTACCTTTAAAAATGCCAAATCACAAGCTATGTTTTGATAAGTTTTCATGAAATGGAAATAGTCATGAAAGCAGCACCCAGAGTGAAGAACCAGCCAAGCCCCAGAGCCTCGGGACCTTCTACTCAGCACAAGGGCCTTGGTCACCTGACGCTAGCTGTGATCTTCACAGCGATGTGCTCATTCCTGTCGGGCCATCACTTGCTGTCACTTCAGTGCCCCTTATGTCCTGGAGACTGACGCATGAATTCTCATCTTCCCATTGACTATTCCATTGGATGAATCAATCAATGCAAGGGCTCAGCCACTCTGCTGTGGGGGATGTTTGCATTTTCTATGTTTTAATTATTATAAATAATACTACTGCGGCAATTCTTACACAATGAGGAAGATGCACGCAGTTGAGCTTAACCTCACTATCTGTCTGGAATATCAAACAACTTAGACATAACATGGAACAGGTATTTTTCATCAAGTATTGATATGTTAAACTTTAAGTCCCTACAGAATGTGAAGAAAAAAATATTATGCACTTGCATAATCTTGCATGTGTACTTAAGAGTATCTTTTGTAGGCTCTCTCTATGTGTATAGGTAGCCTTAGTGGATAACATAAGCCATTGTCCAAAGTGATGGTCTCACCTGTTGGGATACTGGAGCGCCCTGCACCATCATGGCCAGCTCCTGGCACTGTTTGTCTTTCCACTTCAGCCACCATGGGGGCTGTGCATCACATCATGAGTTCAGATTTTGTTTTCCTGAGGGCTAGTGTGGTTGAACATGTCTTCTTTGTTTGCTATTAAGATATGAGCCAGATATCCCTTGATTTTGGGTTCAGAAGAATAGAGCAGAGCTCTGGTGGAGACCTTTTATGTCCACTATCCCAGAAGAATGTTCTGATCTTGCCTGTGTTCAGCAGTGGTATGAGGCTGGGTGTTGGCCTTGCAGGTGGTGCACCACACTGTCGTCTCTGCTCCTGGCCACAAAGTGCTCTCCATTTGAGAGGGATGTGATTAGCTGCCAAGCTCCTCTGAAGTTCAGAGGTGCATTGGATGGAGTCAGAAGCAACTGTGAGCTGCTTACACCTTACAGTGCATGCCTAGGGCTGCTACTGAGCAG